CAACAACTTTTTTTTTTTAATCCTGAGAGTTAAGCAAAAGGTTATGGAAAGATGGAATTCTTTACAAAAATAACACACTGCATACATATTTGCTTGATATTGTGAGAACCACTCAGGCTTAAAGAAACATTTTATAATGTCTGGTTTTGTTGATCTTGGACATGGTTATCTTACTCTCTGTCAACTGATGGATTCCCACTGAGAAGCAGCCGCTTACTTTTTTCCCTCTCTCTTTTTGTTCTGATGATGCTAACGAATCCTTGGATGACAGACACAGAAAAGAATGCAGGAGACAAATGGGGGAATGCATTCAATTCACATAAGGATTTAATGAGTCAATCTAGATTACAAACCCCTCACTAGCAAGGTTGTATCTTTGTAGTGATTTGTTCTCACCTATCTCGATTATTGTTTACTTTCTCCAGCAACAATAGTCACAGTATAGAGTGACTTATTGTTTGTCATAGAGATTTACTGGCCTGAAGTTTTGAGCTGTGATTTTTGTTCCAGGTAGATATTTTCGTGTAGTTTAGATTAATAAAACATGAGGGAATTTCTGATAGAATGCATGTGCTCTGCTTTGCTCTTTGGTTGCATATTAATTATATGCATACATCTTCCTTCTAAGAAAATAGAACTACATATCTCTAAGCTTTAACTTGCTGTCCAGGTTCCTGTTGATTCTTTATTTTTTTCATTTTTTTAGTAGAAAATATGTAATAAAAATAGGAATGAGCACTTTGGTTGTCATTGTTGCTACTAACAGAAGATTAGTAAAGCAGTTCTTTTTCTCATCCTTCACCATGGGAAAGAGATCTGCTAGCAATGCCTGCAACTGAAGGTCATGCAGCCTGGCTTTGTGGGGACAGATGGTCATTGCTCATCATGTTAGCAAGAAGCTTGATGCTGACTTCTGGACATCAGCTGCTCACTATGTATATTAAGTGATAATTTAGCTTCAGGTGGCACTAGCCTCGTGCTGTCTGATCTCCTGCCATCTTAATGGAAAATGTTTGGACAGCCATACCTTACTTTCTTGTATTCATTCCATCATGAGACAAAAGCAGACTCTTCAGTGCATCTAATAATGATCATTGCTTCTGATCATTTGGATTTTGCTTTGCCAACTAGGTATTCTGGATTTAAAGTCCCAGGGGTACGTTTGTGAGTTATGGGGTGGGGTGGGGGAACAAACAACAAAAACCTTGTGAAAATAAAGCCACAGGAGCACTTGGGCTGAGGTGGGAGGAAGGAGCAGAGTAGGGCAAGAGTTGAGGGAAGACATCAAGAGCTAGACAGTTTCTTGATGTCAGAAGAATGTTATCTATTTTGGTTGCTGTGGTTTTACTGATAAATTCTCTGCCTCTGATGTAGCTTAAACTTCTCTGTTGTTGTTCAGTCGCTCAGTCTTGTCTGACTCTTTGTGACTGCATGGACTGCAGCATGTCAGGCTTCCCTGTTCTTCACTATCTCCTGGAGTTTGCTCAAACTCATGTCCATTGAGTCGATGATGCCATCCAACCATCTCATCCTCTGTCATCCCTTTCTCCTCCTGCCCTTAATCTTTCCCAGATTCAGAGTCTTTTCTAAAGAGTCGACTCTTCAATCAGGTGGTCTCTAGAGCAGCTATATTATTAATTCTTATTGCACCCTTATAAGTCAGTGTTTCACAGGTAAATAAAAGAGCCAGGCACATAGCATAGGCAACTCTTCTTGGGTGATGTTTATTATTGATCCCAGTTAGACAGTTATGGAAACATTAAATCATTAATTATTCCTTTATATTCCATACCCCATTCCACAATGGGTTGGATGGAGCATCTATACTATATTTTGTATAATAAGAGAGAAAAAATAAATAGAGAAATCAGAGCTAGAGAAAACATGGATAGGCTTGGAAGACCATAATCCAAGATAGCATGGAGATATACAGGTCATAAAATCTGACACTGCTAGCAAGACTGACAAATTTGCATGCGAGTTTCCTGGTTCAGTTCCAAAAGGAGATAGGTAAAATATTCTCCTTTTCAGAACTCACATGTTTGTGGTAAACAGCATGCTACTTTTTAAAAAGATACAGTTTTCCCCTAACTTTCAGGTCTTAATAAAAGTTCTGAAGTAAAGGAATAAAAATAAATTTCTGTTATTGAAACCACTCAGTCTAGGGTCCATTGTTATGGCCACCGTAGCAACCTATGGCCAGGAAGGAACTGTGGAAACTGTGGAACTACACAGTTCCAGCCATGTACAGAATCGTGCCAGCTCCCTTTTTCCTTTTCTGAAGCATCTCCACTGAGCTCTCCTGACTTTTTTTCAAACACTGCCTCATAGAGCATTTAAAAAAGCAAAGGTGACTGAGGAAACCATAATTGAAAAAGACACATGTACCCCAATGTTCACTGAAGCACTATTTACAATAGCTAAGACATGGAAGCAGCCTAGATGTCCATCGACAGATGAATGGATAAAAAAGTTGTGGTACATGTATACAATGGAATATTACTCAGCCATAAAAAGGAACACATGTGAGTCAGTTCTAATGAGGTGGATGAACCTAGAGCCCATTATACAGAGTAAAGTATGTCTGAAAGCAAAGAACAAATGTCATATATTAATGCATATTTATGGAATTTAGAAAGATGGTACTGATGAACCTAGTTGCAGGGCAGCAGTGGAGATGCAGACATAGAGAACAGACATGTGGACACAGCGGGGGAAGGAGAGGGTGTGGCACATTGAGAGAGTAGCACTGAAACATACATATTATCAGATGTCAAATAGATAGCCAGTGGGAATTTGCTGTATGATGCAAGGAGCTCAAACCTGATGCTCTGTGACAACCTAAAGGGGTGGGGCCAGTGGGAGGAAGGTTCAGGAGGGAGGGGATATGTGTATACTTATGGCTGCTTCATGTTGATGTATGGCAGACACCAACACAATTGTAAGCAATTATCCTCCAATTAAAAGTAAATTAAACTTTTTAAAAATGCAGGGGTGAGCCTGAGAACCCCACCCCCCTCACAATAGCTGTGGAGGTGAGACCAAAGAGGTAGTTGGTGGCTTCCTAAACTCAGGCCCCATCCTTAAAAAAAAACCCAGATTTCTCCCCACCCCCAACCAGGGTATTAACCATGGAGTCCATATGTGCTATGCTTAGTTGCTCAGTCGTGTCTGACTCTTTGCGACCCCATGGTCTGTAGCTGGCCAGGCTCCTCTGTCCATGGGGTTCTCTAGGCAAGAATACTGGAGTGGGTTGCCATGCTCTCCTCTAGAGGATCTTTTCCACCCGGGGATTGAACCTAGGTCTCCCACATTGCAGGCGGATTCTTTACCGTCTGAACCACCAGAGAAGCCCTGCAGTCCGTGTGATGTTTAGTGATTCGTTTCTAAGTTACAAGGGAATACCTGGGGGCAACAACCTAAATTCAGTAGTATATTCAACATACTGAACAAAGAAATGGATTAGAGGGGAAGGAGGGCTTCCCAGGTGGCGCTAGTGGTAAAGAGCCCACCTGCCAAAGCAGGAGACTTAAGAGACTTGGGTTTGATTTCTAGGTCAGGAAGATACCTTAGAGAAAGAAATGGCAACCCACTCCAGTATTCTTGCCTGGAGAATCCCCATGGACAGAGGAGCCCTAGCAAGCTACAGTCCATGGGGTCACAAAGAGTCGGACATGACTGAACCGACTTAGCACAGCACAGAGGGGAAGGAGGCCTACTTGAAAGAGGGGCATTTTCAATGTGTAACAAATTGTGGATGTGGATGTGGAAGTTCCTCTGAGAGCTAATGAATGCACTCAGGTACCCTTCTCAGGAGACATTTTTAAGGCCTCCACTCCAGGGATGGACTAGGACTATATGAAAACATTTTTACATTTGGTAAGGGCCTTCTGCACTTACCTGGTGGCTCAGACAGTAAAGAACTTGCCTGCCAATGCAGGAGACATAAGAGACTTGGGTTCCATCCCTAGGTGGGGAAGATCTCCTGGAGGAAGACACAGCTACCCACTTCAGGATTCTTGCCTAGAGAATTCCATGGACAGAGGAGCCTAGTGGGCTATAGTCCAGGGAGTCATCCAGTCCATGGGGTGGCAAAGAATGGGACATGACTGAGTGACTAACACTTTCACTTCCAAATGCCTTCTGTTTTGCAAGGACTTCCCTTGTGGCTCAGCTGGTAAAGAATCTGCCTGCAATGCAGGAGACCTGGGTTTGATCCCTGGGTTGGGAAGATCCCCTGGAGAAGGGAAAGGCTACCCACTCCAGTATTCTGGCCTGGAGAAGCCCACGGGCTATACAGTCCATGGGGTTGCAAAAAGTCCGACATGACTGACAGACTTTCACTTCACTTTCGCTATTTTGCATATATACGCAAATACATTATCTCATTTGAGTTTCACAAGATTCCTGAAAAGTCATCATTTCCTGAGAAAAATACTGTGACTCAGAGATTAAGTGATTTGTCTATCTGGAGTCACAGTTTGCCTAAAACCAGGTAAATTCTCCAGGCCCTGCCCACTAGCCTGTTTTTGCAAAATAGAAAAGGAGCACTGCTAAGGGAAGTTCATTTCAGGTCTGGAGCCAGACTCAGGCTCAAATCTCCTTTCAGTCAGAAGTTTGTTTAACGCCCCGCCCCTTTTCTTTGGTGTCTTCATGTGCAAAATGGGAATAAGGACATTATCTACCTCAGGCAGGTAGAGTTCCGGTGAGAATAAATGATGGACCGAGCTTGAGCACTTTATATGGGGAGTGTTCCCTGATGGTTTATCATTTTTACTGCCTGGTTGCTTTTCTCAACCCTCCTGTGCATCTCTTAACTTTTCCTTTTTCTCCTACAGGCCTTTTTTTTTTTTTCAGTCCAAATTTTATCCTGCAGCACCCCACAGAACGTCACAGACCGACAGTCCTGTCGGGGCAGAAAGTTCAATCACACCTCCCCTATTCTACTCCTGTCCCCGGATTTTGGGACCAATTCTCTTCATCTTGAGCAATCAGTAAAAATGAAGAGAGCTAATGGTAACCCTCCTGCCCCTCCCACCTCCCTCCCCCCGCGCCGGGGGCCTCTCAGCACGAATTTAGGTGTGGTTTTTTTGTTGTTTGTTTTGAAAAGCAGAGCCACTTTCACTTTCAAGGGGCCCCCAAAGTGTTTTCCTGTCCGGGTTCGGGCCCCAGGCGCCTTCTCCATCAGGCCCGGGATCCTGCCGGCCCACTTCCTCCCTCTCCCGGGAACCCGTCGCCACCCCGGGCGGGGAGGGTGGACCAGGGGCGCGCCGGCCTCTCCGGCGCCCGCCCAGCCGCTGGCGCCCGAAGGGGTTTCAGGAGCCGGGCTGGGGCCCGCAAAGGGGGAGAATCACAAACGGCTCAGTGCCCGGCGGCGAGGGCACAAAGAAGGGATCACACGGCCCCGTTGGTGCAAGGCGGGCTGGCGGGCGATTGATAAGGCGGGGCTGTCACCCCCGGCTCTTTCCTCTCGTTTTTGCCGCGATCGCCATGGTGCGAGCTGGGGAAGCCGTGGGGCAGCCGGGACCCCGGGCGCCCTCCCTCCGCCCGCAGCGGAGGCGGAGCGGAGCGCGGCGCTCACTTTGAACTCGCCAGGCGCCCTCTGGTTACACAGCATCAGGGCTGAGCTGCTGGAGGTTTAAAAGGAGACTGTATGTGAAAAAGGTGGATGAAGACGTGCAAAAGAGAAAACTCCAAGCGCATGCTTCAAATTTCTGAACATGCAGATTCCGATCTGAGGGGATTGGTTTCTTCTGCAGTCGTTTCAATGGCTCGTCTTAGCAGGAAAGCAGGCTTATCTATGATTTTACAGATAGGAGGCCCAGGATGAGAAAAGTTATAAACAGGACTGGGATTAGAACCGGGTCTCTGACTTTCTATTTGTTGTTGCTGTTCCGTCGCTCAGTCCTGTCCGACTCTTTGCAACCCCATGGACTGCAGCATGCCAGGCCTCCCTGTCTTTCACCATCTTCCAGAGTTTGCTCAAATTCATGTCCATTGGATGGATGATGCCACGTACTAAAATACTGAAGGTGAAAGTTGGTTGCTGGGAGCTGTGTGAGTTCAGGTCATATTTTGCCTCTGTCAGTGCAGCCTTTGGTTATTCAGAATGCTGGAATGGGCTATTGTGTTTGGGTGGGTGGGAGAGAGAGAAGGGATGAGTGTGTGTAAGGAACAAAGTTCTTAGCTTAACAATTTCAAGGCCTGTGAGTGGTGTGATTCTTCACATCACAATTAGTAAGTCGGTAACTTCCAACCTTTGCTGCGTTTCAGTGGGTCCTTTTAGTTTAAAATTCCCTTGAGCTGGACATAAAGGGTAGGGCAGGAGATTGTAGACTGTGGGCAGTAGGGAGTAGCTCCAAGGGTATGGCTGAGCCAGGCTGAGCCAGAACAGTGTGTGGCTGGGCAGGTGGCACCCCCCACCCCATGCTGTGGGTGTTCACAACCCCCTCCCACGGGGCTCCCCTCACCCAAACATCTCTGCTCCAAGCTTACAGGTAATGTATACAGCACTCCTACTAAAAGTAGTTGGGGTTCTAACCTCGATTTGACATCTGACAAATCAGGTGAGTAAGAATCTTTGTAGTGTCTTACTGTGATCGCACATTACCTACCAAATGTGTCTTTACGATGATTGCTTGCACGCTGTCGCTTCAGTCATGTCCAACTCTTTGTGGCCCCAAGGACTGTAGCCCGCCAGGCTCCTCTGTCCATGGGATTCTCCAGGCAAGAATACTGGAGTGGGTTGCCATGCCCTCCTCCAGGGGATCTTCCTGATCCAGGGATCAAACCTGTGTCTCTTAGGTCTACCTGCACTGGTAGGCGGGTTCTTTACCACTAGCGCCACCTGGGAAGCACAGTAATAACTGCAGTGAAAGGGTAAATCAGCTAAGCTGGTTGTGTATATTTGTGTGTGTATATGTGTTAATGGCTCATAAATGTTGACTCTTCCAACCCCAGTGGACTGTAGCTCTCCAGGCTTCTCTGTCCATTCAAAAAAAGCATTTATGCATTACCTAGTCTCTGTCAGACAATTCTTCTTGTAGCCTTTCTATGGAAGACATTTTGGAGGACTTGAGCTTTGTTTTGTGCTTTGAGATTAGAATAGGCAAAACTCTAAGATGCTTGTCACTTTCATATTTATATCTTTACTATACCCTCTTGCTTTATTTATTAAATGTCTTTTTAAGGCTGTTCTTAAAGAATGCCATGTTTGGGAATGAGTTGAAGGGTCTCAGTCTTTGGTGCTGCTGGAGGAAGGAAGCATTTTGCTGTCAACTAAGATCAGTATGCAAAAAAAAAAAAAAAAAATTAGGCCACCAGGCAGAAGACTCCTGTACCACTTACCCGTATCAGTTTGGTTCAGTCGCTCAGTCATGTCCGACTTTTTGCAACCCCATGAACTATAGCCCACCAGGCTCCTTTGTCCATGGAATTCTCCAGGCAAGAGTGGGTCACCATTCCCTTCTCCAGGGGATCTTCCCTACTGTGTGATTGAACCTCTGTCTCCTGCATTGTAGGCACATTCTTTACTATCTGAACCACCAGGTAAGCTCAGTAGTTGTGGAGAGTGGGATTAGATGCCTCAAGGTAGGTGGGATCTTCCTGACCCAGGGATTGAACCAGGGTCTCTGCACTGGCAGGTGGAATCTTTACCACTGATCCAGCAGGGATGGTGCCAGGGTGATTTTCTTTGCTTTAAAGGAAGAGTATGCTCTGAGAATTGTTAAGATTTTCACTGGAAATGAGAAATTGTCCCAAACCTAGTCCAGATTGAACTTCTCGCATGATGTGTTTCTCAAGTTCCTTCTGGGAGGAAATTAATATACCTGATAAAATACTTAAGTAACTTAAAAATAAACTTTAATGAGCTTAAAGAGAGCCTGCCTCTGGGAGATTAGTTTCCTACCAGCTCAGCTGACTGTCAGTCAAGAATCTAATGATCTTTAACCAGGGCTTCTATTCTAGTCCCTCATTTTCTCCCTATTAACGTGTCTTTGCATGGGTGCTCAGTCACTTAGTCATGTCCAACATTTGCGACCCTGTGGACTGTAGCCTGCCAGGCTCCTCTGTCCTTGGGATTTCCCAGACAAGAATACTAGAGTGAGTAGCCATTTCCTCCTCCAGGGGATCTTCCTGACCCAAGGGTTGAACCTGGGTTTCCTGCCTTACAGGCAGAGTCTTTACCATCTGAGTCACCAGAGAAGCCAAGAAAGGAATCTCTGAATCGGTCTGTTTCTGAGCTCTTCTTTTGAAGCAAGTGCTCACAACTCAAACTTTCTGAAGTTTTTTTCCTTTTCCTTTTCATTTTTGGAGTTCAGACTTGGTTAAGTGTAAAGAGACACTGCTGTTGATGATCACGAGGAAAAGAAGTCATAAGAAAGTCATTAATTTGTCCCAGATTTTTAACCTGCAAGTAAGTGGGAACCGCAGAGGTTCTGGAAGAGCGTGCTTTGGGAAGGTGGTAGTGTGTATGCCAAAAGCACAGACACACTTGTACTGTAAAAAGCACCCACAACTGCTCATCAAAATCCTGTGGACTGGGAATCCCCTGTGGTCCAGTGGTTAAGAATCCACCTTCCAATGCAGGGGACCTAGGTTTGATCCCTGGTCTGGGGCTTCCCCTGGTGGCTAGGTGATAAAGAATCTGCCTGCCATGCTGGAGACCCAGGTTTGATCTCCGGGTCAGGAAGTTCCCCTGGAAAAGGAAATGGCAATCCACTCTAGTTTACTTGTCTGGAGAATCCCACCGACAGGGGCATCTGGTGGGCTGCAGTCCATGAGGTCGCAAAGAGTCAGATATGAATGAACGACTAACACACATTGGGAGCTAACACCCCACATGCTGGGGGAAATGAAACACACACACCACAACTAGAGAGAATCTCGCACCCCACAACTAAAACTTGACACAGACAAAGAAATAAAGAGTTTTTTTTTTTTAAGTGAATTTGAACAGCTGATAGTAAGAGCTGATTGGCACCATACTTTCACTCTGCCCACTGCCCCCAGTGGTTGCATACTTTAACCCTGCTCCATACCAGCCAAATCAGACGAGATCGGGCGCGTTCAGGGTGGTATGGCCATAGACCATACCAGCCAAATCAAAATTCCTTAGGGAAGGAAGCATCATGACTGTTATTTTTTAATGTCTGCAGGTGATTCTAAGTGCAATCAGGGTTGATAACCACGAATGTAGATACTTTTCTGCTACACTGGTCCCCTATCCAATTTTCTTTCCGGCTACAATTCCAAACTGCTCCTCCCTTTGTTCAATTTCTCCTGTACTTTGTTGCCATAAAGTCTCTTCATTGACTTGGATGTAATATTACTCCTTTTAACTATCAATGCAATAAATATTCGTGGAACTTTTTATGCCAGGACTATGCTAAATGAGGGCTTCTCTAGTGACTCAGATGGTAAAGAATCTGCCTACAATGTGGGAGACCTGGGTTTGATCCCTGGGTCAGGAAGATCCCCTGGAAAAGGGAACGGCAACCCACTCCAGTATTCTCGAGAGTTAGCCTGGACACCCTGAAGAATTCCATGGACAGAGGAGCCTGCTGGGCTACAGTCCATGGGCTCATAAAGAGCTGGACACAACTGAGCGATTAACACACATATACATGCTAAATGGTGGCATGTCTGCACTGTTGGGGTTCAATAACAGCGTAAATTGTGTCCTCTTCCTTTCCTGACTTGGGTTCCAAAGGCATTGCTCCCAGGATGTGACCACCATCACTCCCTGGAACAAAGAATGCCTCGCTTGTCCCTGGAACCTTAAGCATAGTATTGTCCTGCTCTCACTCACAAATAGTCTGCTACCCAATTACGTGTGCTCCTTTAACCTTCACTGCATCTCTGTCTTGCTGGAGGTGATAGGTTAATAGGGGCAGCAAGCCTTCCCAAACAGCCCTTTACTGGGGCAAATCTCTGAACTGAAACAGTCTTTGGTCCATGCAGTATACAGTAACTGGAGACTCAAAATGAATGCAATGCCCACATGAATATAGAAGGAAAAAAATGCTGTAGAGATTGACTCTCAGAGCCTCTTGGCCTATATAAAATTCCTTCTTTCTCCAATCATCCCAGTGCTTTCTGCTGTCCTTCTCATGAATAAGGGACCGAGTCCCTTTCTCCTTCTCTTCTTTGGGGTGTCAGAGCCGGGAGGCACAAGAGAGTGACTGGGAATATAGAGTATATTTGGCTGAGTATAAAAGGGAACATACAATTTTGTAGTCAATTTATTTTCACCTCATTCATTCTCAGGGGTACATGGTTTTCGCCTCATTGATTTTCTGTGTTCATTGACTTGAAGCCTGCTGTGTATGGGAGGTTGCTTCATGTCTTCTCAAGCCATCTTTTTTTTTATTGTCTTGGCAAATCTCTGCCTTAAGCTTGAACTAGTTTGAACTGAACTCAGTGGTTTACCTACTTGATATGACATGTCTTTTTAGTGGAGGTATGATACTGTTTAATGTTTGTACTATAATATTAGAGTTTGAAGGGATCTTACAGATCCTTCTAGCCAACTCCTTCATTAAATATGAGGACCCTGAAGACCAGGGAGATTGAAGAATTTGCCTAAGTAAGGCCACACAGCCAGAAGAGTAGCAGAGCTAGACTGCCTCCTTAGAATGGA